AGTAGTAGTAGTAGGAGCAGTAGTAGTAGTAGTAGTAGTAGTAGTAGTAGTAGTAGTAGTAGTAGTAGTAGTAGTAGTAGTAGTAGTAGTAGTAGTAGTAGTAGTAGTAGTAGTCGTAGTAGTAGTAGTAGTAGTAGTAGTAGTAGTAGTAGTAGTAGTAGTAGTAGTAGTAGTAGTAGTAGTAGTAGTAGTAGTAGTAGTAGTAGTAGTAGTAGTAGTAGTAGTAGTAGTAGTAGTAGTAGAAGAAGAAGGGTAGAAGAAGGATTAATAATAGTAGTCGTGGGCGTGCAGCGGCTCGACGTTCTCGCCCCCGACAGTGCCAAGCTGGGTTGGCCGACGTAGCCGTGGATGTACCTGTTGTGGAAGTCGAAAGGTCGGATAATCATTTGTGGGAGCCTGTGATAAGGAAGTCCCCGAAACGGATTGTAAGAGCTGAAGGGTGGTCTGGGACATTGGGTTTTAAGATGCGAAGTGAAACATTCGTGGCCGATTGGTCGGCACACTGCCATTGACACGCATCGATCGCTTGGCGGTTCGTGGCTCCTCCTCCTAGTCCTCGTCCTGGTCCTCGTCCTCCTCGTCCTCTTCGTCCTCCTCGTCCTCTTGCTTTTCTTTCTCCTCCTGCTGCTGCTCCTCCTCCTCCTCCTCCTCCTCCCTTCTGACGGGGGGGGGGTCAAAGATGGAGGGACGACGACGCATCGGCAGGGCGCATCCATGTCCTCAGTTCATGCCCACGCGGCCACTGCCGCTTCTGCTGCTGCTGCTCCTCCTCCTCCTCCTCCCTTTCCCTCTTCCTGCTCCTCCTTTCCCTCCCTCCCTCCCTCCCTCCTTCGTCTGTGGTCTCCTGGCTCCCAGCTGGCCGGGTGCGGGAACGAGACCTCCCGAGGGGGGGACGGGCGCGTGCGCCCCCAGGCCAGCGGGAGCGGGGGGAGGGGGGCAGCGGCCGCCGCTGGCAAGAGCTGGCGCGGCTTCTCCCCCCACTTCGCGTGCTCCGCATCCAGCCGCGTGCGCCGCCTCCCTTCTCCTCCTCCTCCTCCGCCTCCTCCTCCTCCTCTTCCTCCTCCTCCTCCGCCTCCGCCTCCTCCTCCTCCTCCTCCTCCTCTCCTCCTCCTCCTCCGCCTCCTCCTCCTCCTCCTCCCTCCTCCTCCTCCTCCTCCTCCTCCTCCTCCTCCTCCTCCTCCTCCTCCCTCCTCCCTGACGTTGCCTCAGACCTCCCCTCCCCCTCAGCCTCGGACGCTCCCCCGCGCTCGGCGTGCCGCGCGCCCCCCCCCCCCCCCCCTGGGCGGGGCGTGGGCTCCCTGGGCGGCCCCACTCCTCCATGGGGCTTTCCGAGGGGTTCTGGGATGCCCAGGATGGCGTCCAAGACGGCCCAGGCAGGCCACCGAAGCCGCGTTGATGGCCCAGGATACCTCCGATGCGGCCCAGTATGACCTCAAGACGGACTTAGGTGGCCTCAAGACGGCCGACGAATCCCCGAACCCAAGAGAGCAGGATGAGGAGAGAAGAAGCGGAATGGAGCAAGACGCCGACGAACACGAAGAGAGATACACCCCGACCAGACGCGGCAAATCGTGCCGCATTCTACGACCCTCCCAAGGCTCGGGGCACGACTTCTCACGCTACGGCTTCCTGTCCGCTCCTCGAACAATCGCCACCCATAATGCTGGGCTGGCCCAGTCAAGCGACTGGCCGCAGGCAGCTGGAATCTGATCTTGCACCACGTGCGCAGATTGCACGATCTGACTGTCACGTCCAGAGTGCAAGAACTCACTGCTTAGGGCCCACGCTGGCAAACACCCAAACTGCTGCACGCTCGTGGCCCTTCTTTCCGGGGAGGGCCTCCCGGACCAGTCCTCGTGGGCGACTCCAGAGATCCCCGCGGAGCCTCCACCGCCCCGCCCTCCTCCCTGCGCCTCGCCGGCGCAAAGCCTGGGCAGGAGCGCCTGCCGCCGCCACCTTTGCCGCCGCGGCGCGCTGCCCGGGCCTGAGGCCTCGCCCCCCCCGTCGGCGGCTGCCGAGAGGCTGCCGAGAGGCGCCCCTGGCCCCGGGCGTCCCCGCGGCATCCGGGCCCTGACATCCGACGACCGGCACGCCCTCGAGGTCCCCAGAAGAGCCCCGGCCGCGGAGCGGGCCGGCGGTGCTGACGGGCGGGCGGGCGGGCGCGTCGCGCTGCGCCCTCGGAGGCAGGAGGGCGAGGAGGAGTGGGGGGGGGGGGCGGGGCCACAGCGGCGGCGGCGGCGGGAGCGACGAAAACGCCGACGACGGCCGATCCCGCCTCGTGCGTCGAGGGGGGGGGGCGGGGGGAGGAGGACGACGGCGGGCACCTTCTGTGCCCGCATGCTGCTTCCACTTTGAATGGAGTCCCGGCGAGCCCCTGAGGGGCGCAACGTTGACGCTCGTGGTCTTGCTCCCTGTGCCCCGCCATTTCGGCTCAAGCTGGCCGCGCATGTCGATGGACGCGCGCGCTGGCAGCTTGCCGCTCGGGGATGTTGACGGTCCCGGAGCCCACGAGGGCCGTACTCGTCCCAATCCCCATTCCCTGGAGCCGTACTCCAATCCCAATCTCCTGGAGCCGCACTCGTCGAGGCCGCGGCCTGCGGCACGCTGCTGGCCAGTGGCGACATGCACGAGGTGGCGGCCGCAGCCGCGGCAACCCTGCGCGTGATTCTTTGGCAGTGCCCGCCGCGATTCTGGCTCGGACAGCGAGGCGCACCTTGAGGATGAGCTCCGCCTGCGCCTGCTGGCCATCGATGCCCAGCGGCCCGGCCGAGCGGCACCCAGCGCGCGGCCTGCAACGTCGGGGCTTACGCCAAGCGGGCACACGGCAGTGGAGGCGGCGCTGATGAACCCCGAAGGCAGCCCAGCGCACAGGCGGAACGCCTGATGCAGGGCTCAGCGAGCCCGCAGAAATGGACGACGCGGCTGCGGAGGTCGTGCTCTCGCCCTATTTTTGGAATAGTCTACTGCAGCTCCCCCAGCTGGCGGCTCGGAGGGGCCAGTGTCAGGGCCAGCAGTCACTGGGCTCAGCACAGCACCCGCGGCGGCGGCGGCGCTGGCGTACCTGCTGATCGGTCGGACGACTTCGAGAGGCTGGCGGCCGCTGATGCAGGTGGCAGTGGGGACAACTCCGAGCGGCTGGCGGCAGTGGCACTGCTCGGCGACGCTGAGGTCACGGATGGTGGAGACGGTGCTCAGATGGCCGCAGGGTCCAGCTTGTGGGGCGGCGGAGCGGCGCGGCGCTGGGACGCTGCGCGAAGTGCGACGGCGGCGGGAGCGGGCCCAGTCAGCGGAGTGCGACGGCGGCGGGAGCGAGCCTAGTCAGCGGAGTGGTCACCGCACCAATTCGGGGACACCAATCTCGGCGGCGAGCCCTGGGGGGAAGTGAGAAGGGGCGGGCCTTCGCAGAAGGCGCGGACGCCCCCCAGCGTCCTGAGAAGAGGTCTAGGCCTTCCCCGAAGGCGCAGCGAACTTCTCAGAAGGCGCGAGGGCTTCTGAGAAGTCCCGCCGCCTTCCGAGAAGGCCTTCTCCTTACTTACTTACCCATCCATGGGGGAGCCCCCGTAGAGTATCACACGCATGCACAAGAGGGAGGGGAGGAGCAAGGAAGGAACGGGCTACCCGCTCTCTGGCCAGGCCTTCTCCTTCTCACTTCCCCCTCTCGCTCGCCGCCGACAATCCCGTCCCCGTTGGCTTTCGGGCCATACCTTTCGGCCTCCGACGGCCGTTCGGGACGATCCGGGCCCCCCCCTGGAACGCTCTCGGCGAGGTGCAGCCGCTGGAGAGCACCCCGAGGCTGGAAAGCCACCGAGAGCCAACCTGGAGCCCCGAACGCTGCTGACTCGCCAGACGGCTGCCGCAGCCCTGCCCGCCGCCAAACTTGCAGTGCAGGCCGACGTCGTGCAGGCCGCGTGCAGCTCAGGCTCTGTGTGGACGGCCGTGCGGGGCCAGCTTCGCAGCCCTGGCAGGGCAGCTGCCCCTCCGAGCCACCACCTCCTCCTCCTGCTTCTTCTGCTCCTCCTCCTCCTCCTCCTCCTCCTCCTCTTCCCGTACTTCGCCTCCTCCCCTTCCTCGTTATCCTCATCCTCTTCCCCCATGCCCTGATTCCCCTCATCCCACTCCTCATCCTCTTTCTGCTCCTGCTCCCGCTCCCGCTCCTGCTCCTGCACTTCCACATTCACCTTCACCTTCTCCTCCAGCGCCTCATCTTCCTGCTGGTCTTCTTTTCCTCTGCCTTCTCCTTACTTTTTTCGTCCTCCTCAACCTCCGCCTCCTCCACCTCCACCTCCACCTCCTCCACCCCCACCTCCACCTCCTCCTCCGCCTCGTCAATTTGTTTATTCGTGTCCCATCCTCCATTCCTTCTCCCCTTTGAAAGCATCTGGTGTGGCGTGTGGTGTGGCCTGCTTCGTTCTGGCTGGCACATGACTATGAATAATTACCCAAAGTCTCCGGGGTGCTGGTTTTGACCAGCGCACTGCTGCGAAGGCCGAAAACCTTCTTCACCAACGACCTGCAAAGGCCGACGCGCTGCTGCGAAGATCCCCGCCCCACGTTTGCGCAACAATTGGAACTGTGCGCGTGAACCTGAAGTCGAGCCAGGGCTGATCTGAGGGGCCGGGGGCACACGCCCTCACGTCCCTCCTCCTCCTCCTCCTCCTCCTCCTCCTCTTCTTCCTATTGCGCAGCCAAGCAACCCAGCAGCAATCGTGGCTGCACTCTCATCTCTGGTGGCCTCGTCCTCCTCCTCCTCCGCCTTCTGGGCTGGTGCTCTGCAGTGGTCAGCACAGCTGAGCTACGCTAGAGCTAAGAAAGGGCCCTATGCATGACAAGCAGGGACAGCGTAGCCACGCCATCTCAAACGGCTGCTTGGCCTGATCCCTGCTTCGGTTTGACTGGCGCCCACCCACCTTCAACTTGACAAGCAAAAGTTCACTTCCTTTTGAACGACGCATCAGCTCTAATCTGATTCTGGATGGACTTGCAAAGCCACCCGAAACACAAGGAATGGCCGCATATCAAACTGGCCCATAGATCCCAAACCTTTGAAGAGGGCTTACAGGGTGACCCAGCTCGGGACACTTTGGACGGGACCCCATGAGCAACAACAAAAACCACGGCGCATGGGCAACTGAGGACGGTACCCGATGGGCGAGACATCCGGGGCCAAAAGCGCAACCCAAGCACACGATTGTACTCAAAGCTCACACCCCTTGGGCGAGACCCTTTGGGCCACCACCGTAACCCCAACATGCGAGGGCGATGAAGGCTGGGACTGGCACCCTATGGGCGCACCTCATGGTGCACGACCAGGGCGCTAAAACGCAGGGTGGGGGGGAACCAGGTCAGGATTCCTTTGGGCGGGGCCCCATGGGCGACCACCGAAAAGCTACCACGCGGAAGGCCAAGACCCCAGGGGCGGGGCCTTAGGGACCACCTCCGGAGAGCAGCTGCGCGGAAATGGCGAGGGCCAGGGCCCGACGGGTGGGCCTCTCGTTCGGCCGACACCGCACAGGTGCAGCTGGTAGAACGCAAGCGAGGGCCTGCTAAATACCAACACAGTTTGGGGAACACGAGTATGCCCTAATACAACTGCTTGCATCGATCATCACATCCACAACCTTGTCCTGCCCGCGCCTCATGGCCCATACAGTGACTACTCGACCAGGCCAAAGCCTCCGCCACGCTTTTCTACACAGCTCATAGACATCTCAAATCGCAATGAGGTCCTCTACTCTACTTTGGGAGCATCATGGACGTTCCCATCGTAGGCAAGAAGCGCTGCACCGTCTTCGGTGGTCGCTTCCACGAAGGGTCACACCAACGGGAACAGACGTGGTGATGGAAGAAGTTCTCGATGCCCTGCTGCCCCAAATCCGCTGGTCCAAACTCTCTCTTGCTGGAATTGATCGCGGGGTCCGTCAGAACCAAGGCGTTGTCTTCTGCCGCGCCCTGCAAATCGCAGAGCACCAACTGACCGTCAGACAAATGATATGAGAAATGACTTAATGACTGCAGGGCACCGGCCCAATCGCCTGGTCCGACCCAGCCGGTGTTGGAGTTGAACTTCTTGAAATTCGCGATGTAAGGCTCCACCAGCAGTCGCTGCTTCGTATCTGTCCTGTGCCAGATTGCAGGCTTGCATATTTGAACTAGACTAGAGAACTTCTTCACCTTGTTGAACTCTTCGACAATGCCAATCGCTTTTTCGACGACGGTAACGTCGTGCTCGAAGAAAGAATCTTCAAACGCTTGCTTACCATCCTTGAAGACTTTAGACACTTTCGCTTGGCCAGCGCGCTCCCCAACAGTGAATTGCCCCAGATAGACAGTCTTGAACTGACCCTCGCCAATTGGAGCCTTGTCCCAATCTGTGGTGCCGGATGATGCATTATTTTCCCTTGCGGCGGAATGAGGTCGCTTCAGCTTGCTCCTCATGTCACTCCGCAACGTAGCCTTCGCCGCATCGATCAGTTTACCCAATGTCACGCTCTCGAGCTTACCCTGCTCCGACAGGACTGCCTGCTCGATGTCATTGCCGCTGAACCTGCTGTCCCCAGATTCCTTGAAATCCAGTTTGATATTTCGGACAGCGCTTGCAGCGATACGGTTATCTCTGAAAAGATTGACGGGCATCTTATTTGGGGGAAATCCTTGACGCTGGCTTGCAACCACATCAAATTCAATCGTGATGCGTCCGCACTGCCCCGCAACATGGATACAACGAGGATTCGTACTCTGAATTTTGTAGCCACGCTGCTCGATACCACGAACGATCCCGTTCCACTGTGGTTCAGAAATAGGTCCAATGCCAAATACCATGACATCGATGTCAGACTCACCGGCAATATCTGTTCCTTTCATGTAGCTGCCTGCCTTCATCAACGAGGCCGCTGTGCCGATCACACTTTTGACCACAGCCTCAAAGTCTGAGACGGCGCTGCCAATGTAGCGACGTTGATCTTCTGACCAATGTCCACCGATGTCTGCCCTGTGCTGCAATTGTCCATCACTCAGCCGTGCCCCTGATGTAACGCTGCCATCCGCGTGGATTGTCTTGTCAGTGCCACGTACTCGAACGGACAGCCCTTCCACTGTTGAATCAGACTTGCGACGTAGTTCGCTCGTCACCTCGGCCAACGGCATGCACTGCACCTTCACAGCACCGCACTTGCCAGCACGGCACGCCATCTTATACACAGCAAGCCGCCGATTGTCCAACGTAACAAACTGCCCACCCGTGCGCTGCACGACGTGCATCATTGGCACCTGCCGCTTCTCCATTCCCTCACACATCCGCTCATACGTGTCGAAGATCTGCCACCGTGCCTCCTGGCGCGCTGAGGCGTGGTCGAAGGCCAAGTGCTGCCTGGCAGGGTCTTTGCGTTCTAGGAATGGGCCCCCCCTTCCTTTAGCTGCGCTCCCTCTCTTGCACCGCCCCCCTCTCCCAAGGTTCCCTGGGCAGCAAGATGCCCAGCTGGCGCCCTCCAAGGCGTCAAAGATGTTCAATACTGATGCCAAGCCGGTCCAGGCAGGCCACCAAGGCCGTCAAATTGTTCGAAGATGCTTTCAAGACTGCCCAGGATGGCCACAACGGCCATCACATTGTTCGAAGATGCTTGCAAGACTGCCCAGGATGGCCCCAAGACGGCCCCAGGATTGCTGAAGAGGCCTTCCAGGCGGCCCAAGAAGGTTCCAAGAGGATTTGGGCCCGAAGAGGCCAAAATCATTGATGTCCCTAAGGTTTGTGATCGATTTTGGCATTCTCACTTTTCGGGCTTGCGTGAGCTCAAGACGGCCTAAGAAGCCTCCAAGATGGCTTCAAGACGGCCCACGCAGGCCTCAAGAGAGCCAAGACGGCCGGAGATAGTTCCAAGACGGCCCAGGAGAGCCCCTGAACAACTTAAGGTACCCCCCAATAAGAGGACCTCAGGCTGACCCATGAGGGCCTCTGGAGGGACCCAAGCCTCCAGACGGCCACGAGGACACCAAGAGAGCCTCCAGACGACCCAAGGAGCCTCAAGATGGCCCAAGAAGGCCCTGAGGGACCCCCAAGGGTATTCCGCAGGAGCCCAGGACCCCCCCGAAACGGCCCAAACAAAGTGCATGAGCGCTCCTGCAACAGCGAATACGACAAGAGTCACATGTGACGGCTTTCCCCTTCCTCCTCCTTCCGCTTCTCATCGTTTTCCTCCTCCTCCTCCTCCTCAATGTCGTTGTCGTAATCATCGTCATCACCACCATCACAGCAGCCATCATCATCATAATCGTAATCATAGTCATCGTCCTCCTCCTTCACCTCCTCATCATCATCATCATCACAATCACCATCATCATCACCACCACTATCATCTTCCTCGCCATTTTGTTATGTCAACTGTCGCAATCACCATCACCATGACAGTCATCATTCAACATCATTATCAACATCACCATCAGCGTCAACACCACCCTCATCATCAGAGTAGCCGCCATCGCCATCATCATCATCATCATCATCATCATCATCATCATCATCATCATCATCAACATCATCATCATCTCCATCATCATAATCATAATGACCATCATCATTATCATCATCCTAATCACCTCCCTATCATTCTCGTAATCCCCACCTTGCTCATTACGGCTCTCCCAAGCCTGGAGATACGAAGTGTCACACGTAACGGTCACCCGTGCCTGTTCGAACAGTCGCCACCGATAATGTTGGGCTGGCACGGTGGCGGGACTTGCCGCAGGCAGCTGGACATCAGTGCCATCTCTGAATTGTTCCCCAATGTTCTCCTGAGAAAAGCGGATGGCAAAAGGGTCCATCATCCTCACTGCTGGAGCTGACATGTCTCTCTGGAACCGCACGTCAAGGAATAATGTCTCCGGCACCCCACAGCAGCTGTTGGTCTGCGCCAAAGACGACTGCCGAAAGAGGCGAGCGAGGCAAGAGACGGAGAGGTGACGCAGATGGAGGCGACGGAGGCAGGGCGGGTGAGAGGGGGAGGGGAGGAGGGAAAGGGTGGGAGTAGCGAAAAGGAGGGGGCGGGTGGAGTGCACGGCGAATTGGGGGAAGAAGAGGAAGAGGAGTGAGAAGAAGAGGGTGGAGAGGAGTGACTGGGAAGAGGAGGGGGGAATGAGGAGGGGAGAGGAAAGACTGGGAGAACAGAACATCGCAGGGCAGTTGAAGGAAGGATAGAGGAGGCGAGGGAAGAGGATGAGCAGAGAAGAAGGGAGAGCAACGAGATCAGGAGGGAGAGTAACGGAGGAGTGAGAGCGGTTTCTAGGATCAGGTGAAGCAGGAGGAGTGCCTGGAACACAAGGAAGATGATGAGCGCCATGAGCACGAACGACCAGGAATATGAGCAACGGGAATAGGAGGGAGGACGGCTGGCAACCATGTGCGCACAAAACAGAATCAGGACTGGGCTTAGAATGTGGCCGTCGGCGCGCACCAGAGACTCTGAGAGAACCAGGGCGTCGTCTCTGCCACACAACAGAAGGCTGTTTCCGTTCTCGGAAGAGCAACCCAGCGAGAATCTGTGCGAAAGGCAGGACGAACCGTCTACAGATCGCCGAATGTGAGAAAGAAAATCGCTCAACATGTCAACTCACCGGACCGCTTGCCCTTTGGACCCCCTCCGGGCCGACGCCAATATGCGAGCATATGTCTGGGCGCAGCACCGCGACAGATTCGCGACGGTAGATCACCGATCGGGCGTTCTCGAACGACCTGCAAAGCCCAACACACGTTCTCGGAGGCCGACATTGGGAAAACACGCAAGTTTCGAACCAACCACAGCGCCAGAGATCTGGGAGCCAGAAGTCGACCCCTGGACCTGCCCTGGGATGCGCTCCGAGCAAAATCTCGAGGGGCATCCAGCCGTGTCGACGACGGCGCGCCGGGAGGCCCAGAGAAGGAATCTTCGACGTCGGAAGACGCCCAACAAACTCGATCTGCGACGTCGTCGTCAACGTCGTCGTCTTCGTCAACGCCGTTGTCATCGTCGGCGGCGGCGGCGGCGGCGGCGGCGGCGTCGTCGTCGTCGTCGTCGTCGTCGTCGTCGTCGGCGGCGGCGGCGGCGGCGTCGGCGTCGGCGTCGGCGTCGGCGTCGGAATCAACGTCGGCGGCGGCTGCCCTTCCGCCCGCATCCGGCGAGGGGGTGGCCTCGAGGGACCACAGGCAGAGCGGCAGCCTGCAGAGCAGGGGGAGGAAGAAGGGAGGAACGGGGAGGGAGGGGGGGAAGAAGGGAGGCGAGGAGAGGGAGGGGGCAGGGGGAGGAGGAGGAGAAGGAGGGTGAGGGCGAGGGGGGAGAGGGTGAGGAGGGAGTGGGACGGGGACCAGGAGCAGGAGGAGCAGGAGGAGGAGGAGGAGCAGGACAAAGAGGAAGGAGCGGGAGGGAACAAGGGAAGGCATGGGGAGGGGGGAGGAGAGAAAGAAGGAGAGGGAACCAGAGGAAACGGGGGAGGAGGAGGAGGAGGAGGGGGAGGAGGAGGGGGAGGAGGAGGAGGAGGAGGAGGAGAAGGAGGAGGAGGAGGAGGAGGAGGAGGGAGGAGGAGGTGGGCGTGGGGGCTAGAAGGAACAGTATGGATGATGGGGGGGAGGAGGCGGAAGAGGAGGAGGAGGATGAGGAGGAAGAGGAAGAGGGGGATGAATAATATGAGGAGAAGAAGGAGGAAGAGAGGCATGAGGAGGAATGCGAGCGGCAGCCTGCTGAAACCGCTGAAGCCGCGTGAGTGCCCCCCTCTGCAGGGTGGCCGTTGGCGCGTCGGGGTCAAATCGCCCTCAGGTCCTGACTCCCTCAGGCTCCCCCTATCGCTCCACCCGCATTCCCCTTCCTCCTCCTCCTCCTCCTGCTCCTCCTGGTCCTCGTGCTCCTCCTCCTCCTCCTGTTTCTGCTCCGTCTCCTCCCCCGCTTCCTCTTCCTCCGTCTTCTCCATCATTTTCCCAATGCATGATTCATCATTGTCGCACCCGCAAGCGTGTCGGTAGGGCTGCCCATGCGCTTGGCCTGAGTCATCCTCACCATTGGCGACCTAGAAGCTTGAATCTCGCAACCGTTGCACGGATGGAAAGGTGGTGCTTTTCAAAATGGGGCTCTTGCCTTTGTGCCGCGCACGCTCGTCGTACTCATTTACGTCAGTTACAAGGATGGAAGGGGCGAGGGTTCGTTTTCATACTCGGGCTATTGTCTTAACGCTGCGAGGGTCCCACCAACCCCCTGGGCGTAGGTGGTGTAACGAATTTTCTTCTTCTCTTAAAATCTCTTTCCCCCTCCCCTCCCACAGTTTTTTTACCTAACAGCGAAGACTGATAGGTTTCTAGTGGTGTCAAAAGAGAGCAGCAAATGACTCCACAGGGGGGTCCAGGCGGGACCCGGGGCGGCTGCCGCCGAAGCCCAAATCGCCTGGGACATCCTCGCAAAATCGCTCTTGGCGCTGCTAGAACTCCATTCCAGGCGTACATTTTGGATGCCCGGAGCCAACTGTAGGCCACTTCGTGGTCTTCGAGTTCCCAGAACTCCATTCCCGGCGTACATTTTGGATGCCCGGAGCCAACTGTAGGCCACTTCGTGGTCTTCGAGTTCCCAGAACTCCATTCCCGGGCCACATTTTGAATGCCCGGAGCCAACTGTAGGCCACTTCGTGCTCTTCGAGTTCCCAGAACTCCATTCCCGGGCCACATTTTGAATGCCCGGAGCCAACTGTAGGCCACTTCGTGGTCTTCGAGTTCCCAGAACTCCATTCCTGGGCATGATTTTGAATGCCCGGAGCCACTGTAGGCCACTTCGTGTTCTTCGAGTTCCCAGAACTCCATTCCCGGGCCACATTTTGAATGCTGAGGCAGCTGATGCTGAGGCTGAGGCTGAGGCAGGCTGAGGCTGAGGCAGGCTGAGGCTGAAGGCAGACTGAGGCTGAGGCTGAAGCAGGCTGAGGCTGAGGCTGAGGCTGAGGCTGAGGCTGAGGCTGATGCTGAGGCAGGCTGAGGCTGAGGCTGAGGCTGATGCAGGCTGAGGCTGAGGCAGCTGAGGATGAGGCCGAGGCTGAAGGCAGACTGAGGCTGAGGCTGAGGCTGAGGCTGAGGCTGAGCTGAGGCAGGCTGAGGCTGAGGCTGAGGCTGAGGCTGAGGCTGAGGCTGAGGCTGAGGCTGAGGCTGAGGCTGAGGCTGAGGCTGAGGCTGAGGCTGAGGCAGGCTGAGGCTGAGGCTGAAGGCAGGCTGAGGCTGCTGAGGCAGGCTGAGGCTGAGGCTGAGGCTGAAGGCAGGCTGAGGCTGAGGCTGAGGCTGAGGCTGAGGCCGAGGCTGAAGGCAGACTGAGGCTGAGGCTGAAGCAGGCTGAGGCTGAGGCTGAGGCAGGCTGAGGCTGAGGCTGAGGCAGGCTGATGCTGAGGCAGGCTGAGGCTGAGGCTGAGGCTGAGCAGGCTGAGGCTGAGGCAGGCTGAGGCTGAGGCCGAGGCTGAAGGCAGACTGAGGCTGAGGCTGAAGCAGGCTGAGGCTGAGGCTGAGGCAGGCTGAGGCTGAGGCTGAGGCAGGCTGAGGCTGAGGCTGAGGCTGAAGCAGGCTGAGAGGCAGGCTGAGGCTGAGGCTGAGGCAGGCTGATGCTGAGGCAGGCTGAGAGGCTGAGGCTGATGCAGGCAGGCAGGCTGAGGCCGAGGCTGAAGGCTGAGGCTGAGGCTGAGGCAGGCTGAGGCTGAGGCTGAGGCAGGCTGAGGCTGAGGCTGTGACTGCGACTGCCGTTGCCACTGCGACTGCCATCGCGAATGCGACTACGACTGCGAGAACAGCAGAATTCTACAACAGGATTCTCATCTGAATCTTAAGGGGAATGCTTCCATATATGCTCCTACACATCGCTGTTAGGTTGCTTTGCCGGGATAATTGTTTTTTTTTTGTTGGGGGGGGGGGGGGGGGGCGCGATGCTTGAGGACGCCAAGGACGGTTTCAGATGGCTCTAAGAAGGCGTCCGATGCTCCAAGATGGCCTTCAAATCGGCTCGAGATAACCGAATATGTCTTAATAGCTTCCGACACACCTCCAAAAGGCCTGACGATGGCCACACCACGGTTACAAGTGTTCTCGGAGCCCCGTCGGGCCCCCCCAGGGGCCAGAGTCCTTCAAACAACAAAGGCAGCTCGATGATTTCTGCGTTCTCGCCCTTTCGCTTCCGATGATCTCCTTGATGCCTCAAGATTGCCCCACAGTGGCCCAGGAGAGCCCCAGGAGGGGCACAAGAGGCACCGATAGAGCCCCAAGAGGCGATTTTGATGGCCCTAGGGAGGAGACTAATCGAGGACCCCCCCCCTTCCTTTGATGGGCAGCCTCCAGGATGGCCTCAAGAGGGCTTCGAACCCCCCCAAGGAGCGCCCCAAGAGCATCCCACGAAGGCCCAATGGGCGGTTTACCTCCTCCTCGTCCTCCTCCTTCTCTTCCTCCTCCCCCCCTCGCCCCCTCGCGGGCCCCAGGGGTGGCCCGAAGAGGCCCTCCAAGGCCGCCCCCTGGCTCTCGGAGATCTCTCTGTTCGTCCTGGTTGCCCGCTTTGTTTCACTATGCGTGTCTCTCCGTCGCTTTTCCCGTCGGCACTCGTGGGCAGGGTTTCTATGCGGGCTTGCGGGGGTACTTTTGTGATCGCAAGCGCGCCGGAAGACGCCGGGCGCCGTCGGAACGAAGCGTCGAAGCAACGACCTAAGTGAGCGCGCAGAAGAATAATGACAAGAAAAGAAAAGAAAAAGACAGCGGAGGAGACAAGCAGCGGGCGAACCTCACTGCCGCTCAGAAGAGCGCCAACACCAGGACGAACACCTGGGCGTCGTGCAGCACCTCGAGGTAATAAATGTACTCGACCCAGAAGAGGAGGAGGAGCATGACGCGCGGGCGCTCGACGGAAAATGCGGATCGCCGGGCGCCAGATGGTGCGAAGAGTCGGTGAGAGGAAGCCAAACTCCAGCGAAGAGTCGGCGAGGGCCAACGCCTGGGGACAGAGCAGGCCCCGGGGGAGGCAATGAGGGGAGGGGCCGGGTGCCCGTCTACCCCGGGCGGAAAGAGGCGGCAGACTCAAGGTGAGCCGCGAGCCCAGAGCCCTGGGTAATCCCCGAAATAGGGAGAGGCCAGCAGGCAGACCTCTGGCGCGGCCAGGGTGGCCACGACGAAGGAAAGGCCCGCGTGCCTGCGTCCGGGGTCGGGGGGGTTCCCGGCGACCTCAGGCGCGAGGCTGGGGCGGCGAGGGGGCGGTGGCAGGCCGTCGCCGGCCAGGTGTGGCCGCGAGATGCGGGGCCTGGCAGCGAAAAGCAAAGGATCTCATCGAGAAAATATTCCCGTGGGGCGTTGGCCCGAGCGCGACGGGCCGAGGGGGTTTCCCTGCGGCCTCGCACGCTGGGGCGGTGCCGCCGCGCGCCAGCCGCGGCGACGCCGACCGCCGCCGTCGCCTGAGGGGGGCCCGCGGCGGCAGCGGCGGCGGTGCCGGTAGCGGCAGCGGCGGCAACCGTGGCGGCTGTTTCGACGCGCGGCGCGGCAGGCGGATGCGGCGCGCGCGGCGTCAGCAGCCGGGCCCCAGCCGGCTCGGTGGTCTCGTGGCGAGAGACGACGGAGGGGACTGATGGGCCCCGGCGCTGGGGGCGGGCGCAGGGGGGGCGACCCGACGCCGTGGGGCGCAGCGTCGCGAGCGGCCCGCGCATAGGCGAGCTGGGGGGCTAGGGGGGGGCCGGCGCCCCCAGTTGCGCGCTCGCGGGGCGGTATTAGGCACGAGGCCAGGGCGGCCGCAAGGAGGGTCCGCTGCTGGGTGATGGGGCGTGTGCGTGACAGCGAGTAACGGGCGCAATGCTGGGTGCAAGAGAAGCGCGCGGGGGACAGGGGCAGCGGGCGAACGACAAACGGCCGCCCAGTTGGGCGAGCCCGAGCCGCGCTGATGCGGAGCGCGGCGCCTGCGCCGTCGCCGTCGTGCGACGCGGCGGCGACGCCCGCCCAGCGCCTCGGCGATCTCGTGGTGCGAGACGGCGGAGGGAGGCCAGGGGGCCCCCTGCGGCTCCCAGGCGGGTGCATGGGGGGGGGCGACTCGTCGCCGTGGGGCGCAGAGTCATCAGCGGCCCGAAGCGAAGGCGAGCTGGGGGGGCAAAGGAGACCCGGCCTCCCCAGCTGGGCGCTCCCCGGGTGGCATCGGGCGCGAAGCCATGGCGGGCGTGCGGGTGGCCGCTCGCGGGGTGAGGGGGGACGGTCGGAAGCGACTAATGGTCGCAGTATACTTTGGGGGCCGAGCGCGGGGGATAGGGCGGTGGGCGCGACTAGCGGTCGCCACGTGTGTGTGAGCAGAGCTGAGACAGGCGGGGGAGGTCAGCGTAATGGGCCGGGGGGGCTTCCCGTCGGTCTCTCACGCTAGAGTGGGGCCTCGACACCTATGCCCGTCTGGCAGCCAACGTCTCGGGAGTATCAAAGCACTGCTGGCGAAGGAGGGGCCTGGGCGCGCGAGCGGCCCGGGCGACTTAGCGCGCGTCGTGGAGAATGATGCTGCAGTGACGTGGCAGGCTATGCAGTGTCCTCCCAGCCGGGGGGCGCCCAGGGCGGGCCGAGGGGGGCGGCGAAACGCCAGGGGGCGAAGGGCCGCAAAAGAATGGGCCTCCTGGGGGCCAGGGGCGAGCCAGCATCCCCGGAGCTGGGCGCGTCCGAGGCGGTATTGGGCGCGAAGCCAGGGTGGCCCACCGGGGGGCCTCCCGCGGGGGTGCCGTTGGAGGCGGGTAGGCGAGGCAGGAGAAGGCCGG